TGCGCAAGCTTAGACCCTAAGCCTCAAGCCCTCAAGCCCTGAACCCTACTTGGAGGTTCATGGGACTTAGTAAGTACAGTTATAAGTACCCTATTTGGATTATATAAGCATGTAAGTGTAGTTGCCTGAATTACAACCCTAATTACTAAGTCCCATGAACCTCCAAGTAGATCCTAAACCCGCAAACCCTGAAGGTCCTAAAGCCTTAAGCCCCCAAGCCCTCAAAACCCCTAAATCCGAAACCCTGAAACCCCTAAACCCTAAATTACAAACCCTTAAATCCTAAGCCGTTCATCCCCAAGCCCCATAGAACCGAAGCCCCTGAGCCCTCCCTCAACGCAGGGAAGCATTGCGTCTTCGGTGAGCTTGTGGAGGGCCAAGCAACCTTAGCCAGGGCCTCGGTGCCGTTTCAGGGCTCTTGTTTTGGGGTGTAGGGGTTAGCTAACCTTTGATATTGGAGGAGCCGAGGAGCCAGGGATAATGATAATCGCTACGAGAAAAGGAGCTAAATAGCCAAGTTGCGCTACGGCTCTGGCTCTGCGCCTGGGACCTAGGATTGGCTCTCGACGCTGCCAGTACACATTTCTGCGGAAGGGAGAATCGCCGAGAGTTTGGATGTCAGCATTTTTCGGGTTCGGGGCTTTTTTTTGCATCGCCACGGTATTGAGGTCCAGATGCCAGATTGAATGTAAGCCTGTGTCAGAGCAACCAAGGTACGGTTCTCAAGGATAACACAGGCCCAGTCCTTTGTGCTAGCCCGCTTGTTACCTACATACACTCCGTTAGGCAAACCGCGAAACAACAAGTACGCTCACCCTCTGAATGCCTAAACAGCCGTAAAGGGAACTCCAGAAAGTTGGAATATGGTTTCATGGTAGGATCCCCTATAATATACCATAGAAGGGTTAGGATAATCATATTCCAACTTTCTGGCTTTTACCTTAAACCTTGAGCCTTAAAAACCCGCAGGTGGACAAGGCCCCTCTCACAAGTACTTGTCGAATAGTGGTAGAACATAAACAGAATAAGCCCCAAACCCCAAAGCCTGCGTCCTAAACCCTGAGTTCCCTGTGGATCCTAGCCCTTAGGCTCTAAGGACACATATTTTCGGGCTTTTGGGCCCAAAGACCCTATTATATAAGGCTTTTGCGCTATTTTGAGCCTTAGGGTAAACTGAGGACGCCATTGAGGGCGTGAAGACTACGTCCGACGACAAGCCCATTGCACCCATCACCGTCGCCCGCTGCGGCCGCTTGGCAAAGAGTTTAGGCCTACTACCATCTATAAGGGGCCCTTTAAAGGGATCTATAAGGGGTCCTTGAAAGGGATCTATAGGGTTTAGGCCTCTAAGGACTCATATATCAAGGCTTTTGGGCCCGAAGACCATATTATAGAAGGTTTTTGGGCTATTTTGATGCCCAGGGTTAGGTGTGCAGGGGTAGAAGCTAGGGCTTGAGTCATATGCGGTTGTGGGGTTTAACGGTTTAAGGTTTAGGGCTTCGATTTTCGAAGGGTTTGGTCTTCTGGATGAACTATTCACCATTGTTTGAGAGAGCCCTTATGAGCTACTCATGCCAGAGGTGGGTGTTTTGCTAAGGCCAGGGAGTACTGTATGTATGTTGATCTGAGTTGGTACCGTTATTACCTTTTTGTAGTCCTAGGTTCCTTATAAAGGTACCCAATACCAAAAAGGGAGCCCTTTTTATTCCTAGGTTACTGGGCATCCTAGATAATGGGGCCTGGTTATGAAGGGGTTAGAAGCTGCCCCCACCCTGTAATAGTGGTATAATGGGAATATAATAGGGCCCTAATATAATCCTATATAATCCTTATGGTCACTATTACAGGGTGGGGGCAGCTCCTAATGAAGGGGCATGGGATGCCATGGAGGGATCTGGGATCCCTGGCAAGGAGCCCGGCGCCTGTTCCATTTATAAGTGCCCAGATTAAGACCGTCAATTATTGACTGTAAACTCAACATTTCAGCTTTTGGGGGTTCTTATAAGGTAGTCGATTCCGAAAGTTTCAACTTTTATTTTTTGGGTCTTGGGCCAGTGAGTTTATTACTCACACGGTTAAGAGTTCTTGTGATTCACCTGGGTAGCTGTGGACTCTTGATGATTAGACAGGGGCTTGGGACTCAAGTACTCTGCAATCATGCATTGTCCTGAGCAAGGCAAACTTCAGATTTCCCGAAGTTTCCGAGAACTCTTGCAATACAGCAATTGTCCTTCAACAGTGTTGCGGCATCAGCTCATGGGCGCAGGGGGGGCCCAAACCACGGCAACCAGGTGCCCCTGACAAGTTTCCTGAGCACTACGGCCGAAGGTTTTCAGTGTGGCATCTGTGGCTGTGGCAGCTTCAGGCTGATTGCAATACCAGAATCATTGCAAAGCGAGCCTATATGTCAGGTTCGTCACAGCAAAGTTAGCATCCCAGAAGGCGCAGACCAAAGACCATTTTACTCAAGGTTGAAGTTTGATGTTGAGGTTTTGGGGTAAGCACTACCGCCTGGTACTACCGCCTCAAATCCACATGGTTTTTGCGCCAAGGACAGGTGGAAAGACGGGTAGTTGGCGTTCGGCCAGTGAAACGGAAGAAGGCCAGGCTGTTGATGGTGAGCATGGGGTTTGGCATCGTGGTTTGCGGGTGTTTAGGGCTAGTCGTGGCAAGGGTCCGCTTGCCTAGTATGTACATTGTGAGTCCTTGAACTACTCACATTGGAAGGCCTTGAAGTAGTGTACTATAGAATTTTAAGACTATATACATTGCTTATGTTATTTTACAGAATTAAGCCAGACCCTCTATAGCCCCGAAACCCTACACCCCAATCCACAAACGCTCGACCGCAAGCACCGAAACCTAAACCCAAGACACCTGCAGGCGAAGGAAGTCGAGTCGAGCGCTTCGGACTCCTCCTCTGAGAAGAAGAAGAAAAAGAAGAAAAAGGACAAGAAAAAGAAAAAGAAGGACCGGCCCTGGGCATCAAAACAGCCCAAAAGCCTTATATAGTAAGGTCTTTGAACCCAATAGCCTTAATGTATGAGTCCTTCGATGCCTAGGGCGGAGTTCAAGTTCAGGGTGCCTCTTTCGGGCTCTATGGAGGTTAATGTACAGGGGTAAACGGGTAGCCTATTGGATTCCTTTGAGGGGTAGTATCTACATGGAGGTTCATGGGACTTAGTAAGTACAGTTATAAGTACCTTAGCTGGGGTTATAACCAGTTACAAGTATAGTTATCTTGTTTATAACCATAGTTACTAAGTGCCATGAACCTCAAAGTAGACCTATGTACCCTAAACCACCATAGATCCCTTATAGAACCCTTTAAGGAACCCCCCTTAAGGAACCACCCTTTCAGAAATGTAGGGATTGTATCTAGGTTTCCTTCATGGGATAGCCTACAAGATTCCTATCCGGGTTCTTTAGGGTTCGTACTTGGGCCATTGGGAGTTTCCGAAATTAGGGGTACCTTATTTTGGGGTCCTTACAATAAGGATCCTACTATGTAGGGTACTATATCAGCGTATTTTTGGAAACTCCCATTTGGCCTTTCAAGTTTTCATTGCCTCAGCGGTTCCTTCAAGGGCTGTGTCTAACGCTCATGCGTGTGTACAATTTAGGGATTATGTAGAATGTAGAGTGTGTAACTTATAACATTTATGTAGGTCCTCAAGTTTCGGGATGTACACGTGAAGAAGTCTTACATTTCTGAGCCTGGGGTGAAGGCACAATCCCCAGCCCTTTAGGACTCTGTTTTCGAAAAGGACTGTACCCTAAAGCTTGGCTGCTTTAGAGAGTCCTGTCAAGCAACATCCCTTCATCCAAGAGACATCAATTCTGCTTGGCTGTACTTTGAGCCTTTGGTCTTTTGCACTGAAGCTTGTCCCAAACAGGTACTCCTGAATGCATCAATTCCAGGTTAAGGTAAACGACAAAGCAAGTGTAGTGCTTCTTTGGTACCGGGCCCCTGAAATCTAAACCCTAAGTTGAGAGTTTAAATTTCAGCAGCGATGGTGAACAAAGATTGAACGAATGATTGGATATTCTGAAGAAGTTGGCACCTCTTTGCGCTCTTGGTTTCCGGGTTCAAAGTTTATGGCCTTGGGGCCCGTGGGGTTTATTGCGGACCGGGTGGTGGATCAGAGTTTAGGAGCGCAGTGTCCAGGGCTTCGGGCTTGCATCTTCACAAGCATAGACGGGTTGATACTATAGGGGATTAAATAATACCAATACTATTTTGGGGCTCCTCTTTTAGTATAATGGGCCCCAAAACCCTATTCTAATTGTTCAGGCCCCTATAATATCGATCTCCCGTGCAGGACTGAGCATGAGCTTTTCTGGCAGAGAAGAGGCACGCTTGTTTTGTCAACTGCAGCATTGGCGGGGCATCTTGGGTGCTGGCAGTCTGAGACCCGGGCGACCCCATGCCATATCCCAAATCCCAAGTTTGTGAAGTGTACTTGGAGGGGCAGGGGACTTAGTAAGCCGTTTATAAGTAGGGTTATCATTGGTGTAACTCCATTTAGGGTACTTACAACTCTACTTATAACCTGCTTACCAAGTCCCGTGCCCCTGATTCGCCGACACCCGAGGACCTCGGCTGGTGCTTACATGGGTTTGGGTTTTGGATCCTGGGTGCAAGGTTACAAGGATCCTACATCCCCTGTATAAGAGTAAGCCCACAGCACGCTTTTTCCGAAACACTCTGAACACCCGAGGTCCTGTCTCATTATATAGAGGCCTTAGCTGGCATTCTCCAGCCCCCATCAGCCAGAAAACGAGCGCCCTGTCAGTGACACAAAAACCAGACTTCTACAACACCCAAGCCTTGCTGATGTCCCTTCGAATTTGTGGAACCCTCAGCCCTGGACCACTCGACACAAGTCTCAACCGGAGAGTCCAAAAGCCGTAATGTTGAGGTGTTTGCAGTCCAAGAACCCATGCTGGTGGCTCACGATGGAGCATGCTGTACACAGGGCGGAGTCTGGGGTTAGGTGATGATGCCCTTGGGATCTTTGCTCAAGGACACTGGGACCACATCTCCGATCTCTGTAGCAAGGATGCTAGCTTTGTCATGGGCGCACAGCTCCTCGCACGGTTCTGCGATTTCTCGGTGCCCTCAAAGCGGGCAGCAACATCATCACTTGCAGCTTCAGGAGCCGTTGCAACCAGGTTGGGGGCGGTGGGGGCTGTCCATCATTGCTGCGGTCTCTTGGCCAGCCCCTCGCCTGCAACGATATGGGCGGTACCCTATTTTGGGGTCCTCATAATGAGGATCCCACTATTCCGGGTACTATATTAGGGTCCCCTATTTTCGGAATCACATACCGACTGCATGTAGGAGAGGAGTTGGATGCCATGCAGTTACATGTGTTGGTCATATTGTCATAGCTGTATGGCTGCCTCTTCGAATTCTTGTGAAGAAGGATCACGCTGACCAGCCCTGAAGAAGTTTGCTAAGCATTGGCGCACCAACTTTGCGAAACAGCTAATCATCAGTTGCCGAGTCGTTTCATGATCAACAAGAGAAAATCCGAACAGTGGTTGCAGGCACCGAAAAAGCGACGTCGGACTTACTTGGCGGTCTCCAAAAGGCGTGCAGAGCTGCTTGTGGATGCAGATTACGGTGGTATATATCCGATCATGGAAGCCATGGAGAAATTGAGGAAGGAAGGCTTCCGTGTTTGTACGACTGTTTACGCTGAGCCAGGCAGAAGGAATAACAAGAAATGGCACCAGCTTTTCCAACAGAGTGGGGTTGCTTTCACCCCCATTCCACGAAACAAAGATGGAGAGGCGACCGACACAGCAATTGAAGAACAGTTGGTGCAATTGGCTCAGTCGAAAGACGACATCTGCATAGCTTTGTTGACGTGCGACACCGACTTTTTCGATCAGGTTCAGCTGATCGCGTCTTTGCGCAAGAAGGACATGTGGGTTTTTGTCCCTACAGGTGGTCCAGCCTCCATCAGCCCTGGTCTTCGAAGGTACAAAGAGACTGAAGCGCATGTTGTGCCATTGGCTACTTCTGCTATACAGGCTGAACAACATCGGCGTGGTCAGGGCACGAAGGTTAGAGCTACGTTAGAACCGGACGGACATGGAAGTGTGAGCATGGCGGAGCCTTGTCGTCCTTCTCATCTTGACCAAGAAGATTTAGATCAACTTCGGGCTTTTCTGCACGAACTTGGCTACTGCGATGAAGGAGATGAGAGAACACAGCTGCTACAGTCTGTGGCAAAGTTTTGGTTTGTTAACCGGCTGGGTCCACTTACAGTTTTTCCGACGGAGTTGGCATTTGGAGCTGCATGTGAACTTCTCCAAGCTTCAAGACGCTCGACTTCATGGGCTTGCTACCACAATGACCATGCTTTCTTCCTCCCCATTAGAACCAGTGGATCTAATAATGACAAAACGCTCAGAGAGTATGGTGGCAAAAACGCAAGGAGAGTTTTCAGAGGTGGAGGGCCTTTCATGCTCGAGGATTCCGCGGGCATGGTAGCGAAAGCTCTGCAAAGGTTGGGGTATCTGGATGAAGGCTTGAGCAATGATCTACCCGAGGCTCTGTTCCTGTTTGTGAACAGGCCAGAGCACAAGGCCACTCTCCGAAAAAGGCTTGATGCACTGCCTGTCTCCAGCGACACCGCCGTCGACGTGGAGCACAAAATAAAGAATGCGTTTCTGTCAAATCTAACCTCCGGCAAGTGGGTTGTTGCTCCAAGCGACATCGAGGTACGGAAGACTCTGTGCAAGCAAGGCTTCTTGAAGACGACCAAAGCATCACAGCCGCAAGTGCTAAAAGCGATGCGGAGATTTGGACGCGGTCTCGGTTTGCGAGAGATGCGCAGCTACAATGGGTATGTTTACATCATCCAGCAGCACATGTACAACAGATGCCCTGTCAGAGTTGGGAACATCGAGTTTAAGATCTGAGATCGCTCCGAACGCCGATCGTAGCAGAGTTAGGAACGTTCAGTTCAAGGTCTAAGTTTGCACTGTCCCAAGCAAGATATTGCCTGCATGGGTCAAGTTGCAGCGTGGTTTGCTATTTTCTGGTTTCTCGTGACAACATCTTTGTGGCGCCAGACAAGACGCACCGTGAAAACCGATGTCTCATGATGACTGATGTTGCTGCGTTGCCTCCGAGCTTCGCCGCGACACTTGCGTTTCGAAGCCTTATCGTAGCTGGGTAGGTAACCTTTAGCCTTTTGGGGGTTTACTAGTATAATTATAAAGTTAGCCTTTTTTGAGCTAGGGTATTCAGCTCCTGAGAAAACGACGGGAGAACGGCTGGAGGCTGGATGTGGGTTGCATTCTTCAGACGGGAAACTTTTTGCTGATCGCCACAGATACCTTGAAGGAGTGTTGAGAAGATGTAGAACCTAAACCCTAAAGCCTAATCTTTGTCGGGCCGATTGCTCCTGACGGAACTCTAGCCGACACGTCCTACGAACCCCAGATCTGACGTCGCCCCGTCCACAACAAAGTCCTTGCTCTTGTGGCAGGGGTAGCAGCTTGATTTCATGTGACTGCCATGGGCGTACAGGGTCTTCATGTAGGATAGTTTCGTATCGTACAGTATACTTTAGTATAGTATGGCATCGTACAGTAAGGGTCCATGTACCCAAGTAGCATAATTTTTGACCCAGAGTACCTATATGGGGATTACTTTAAGGCCAAAGTATATACTATTTGGGCACATGGACCCTTAGGGTAGGATAGTTTAGTGTCGTATAGCATCCTTTAGTGTAGTATGGTATCGTATAGCATAGTATTTTGGCCCTCTCGGGGTTCCTGCAGTCTTTTTCTGAAGACCTATCGTTGTAGGTCTTCGTATGTGAACCGCCAAGCCTTGGTTAACTGCAGTGCCTCTATTCGGCTGATTGTGCTTACAAGTTTCGACTACGTCGATAGCCCTTGCAATCCCTCGAAAACGACTTCTGCTCCAAAATACAGACAACCCTTAATGGGGACCCCTAGGTATATACCCTTAATATCGCTATTATATATATACCCATTATATATATGTATATATATATACATATATATATATATATATAGCCCATTATAGACAGACTTCTCCGTCTTGGCGAGGCTTACATCTCCACAGGCACTTTGTTTGCCATGACCTCCGCAGGGACCTCGGAAGGTAAACCAGCGCTACCTCCGTTCATGCTACTTGGAGGGTCGGGGGACTTAGTAAGTCCCTTGAGATCCAAAGACCTACCGTTTTAAGGGTCAGACCCTCTGATTAAGGGGTCATAACCTACTATTTTGTAGGGTTTGGGGCCACAGGTCGTTATTGTATAGACTTGTAAGTATCATGACCCCATTAGGATCCCTCTTAGCGTACTTATAAGTCTACTTATTACCTACTTACTAAGTCCCCCGACCCTCCAAGTACGTATTCCCGCAGGTCCTTCTTCGTCCGGTTCTGGTCCTGGGGGATTCGGGCTCAGGGGAAACATGCTTTCCACCAGGACCCTCCATGTACCCTTAAAATAGAGGTATATGACCCCAAATGAAGGGCATTTAGGGTCGTCTAGGCAACTTCTTCCCGATAAGCACATACTTCACAGACAATGATTTGGTTTGCCATCTTGGTGCTTGCAGCTGGCTGCCTTCAACAGAACTGGTTCACGCAAGTCTGTGCCGTAGGTTGGCCGAAACTCCCCAAGGAACTGTTTATCAATTTCTGTTACCCTAAGGGTCCATGTACTCATATATAATATACACTCCCTAAGTAGGTACATTGGGTCCAAAGTATATACTGTTTGGGTACATGGACCCTTCGGGAAAGATGTCAGCAATCGGTGACGGGTAGATCGACACGGGTCGGGGCTGGAAGTTCAGCGCATTTGGGGGATATTCTCTTTAACAGTGAAGCGATGCAGCCACAGAGTCTTGCCAGCCATACGGACCCGTATCATACATATCATACATACATAGATATGCACATATGGCATGTATGCATACATGTGCATACAAGCATGTGTAGCTATGTATTAGGCATGTATGTTATGTATGATGTATGTGTATATGTATACGTCTATGTATATGTATATGTAGAATGTGTGTATGTGCATAAATGCATACATACGACTATGGGCATTTGCATGTTTGCTCGTATGTAAGTATGAACCTATGTGTATGTGGGTGTGTCGTAACATATTTTTCTAGAAGCAAAAGTATGGATGCATGCATGCACACATGTATGCATGGATGCATGCACGAATGTATGTATGCATGCATGTATCTCTGTCTGTCGGTATGTGGGTATGCATTCATTGACGGATGGCTTGATGGATGGATGGATGGATGGATGGATGGATGCTTGTATGTTTGTATGTATGCATGTACTCATGAGTGCATGCATGCATGCATGCAGGCATGGATGCATGCATGGATGCATGCATGGATGTATGTATGCATGCGAGTATGTGTGTGTGTATGTATGTATGTATGGATGTAAGAACTTTCATGACAGTATTTTACATGTCTGCATGTGTGTGTAAATGTATGTTTGCCTATGTGTATGTGGTGATGTCGGATGATGTAGGAGTCAATATACAAACAAACGTACAAACATACGTGCATGCATGCATATATACATACATGCTCACGGTTTATATATGCATATATATATATATACATACATATATATGTGTGTGTGTGCATGTCTGTATAAAGCAGTGTGTACATATACATATATATATATGTATGCATATGTGTTCATACATATGTGTTGTATACATATACTACCAGTAGTTAACCTAGGATCTCGAACCAGGCTGCAAGCTTCCTGTGGTGTGAGCGCCGCATGCTGCCTTGCCGCGCAACGTAGCCGGTTGAGGGCACACTAAGCAGTACATAACCTAACCCAGCGTAAACTGGACTGCATGATACCAGGACTTCTTACAGTAATTAGCCCACGCTTTCTTTAACTGTGAGCGAGAAGTTTTCCGTTTAAACATAACTTCAACCCCCTGCATCCTCGACAACAACAGCCTCAAGACCTCGGAAATCACGAATTGTCTTTCTAGTGTGTAATGTTTTTTGTTTTTTTCTAGTCTGGGTCTTGTGGGGGTATAGTCTCTACTTTCCGGGCCCAAACATCTACTAAGAGCCTACCTATAGCCTCCATTGTAGTTCCTTTTCTTGGTTAACCTCTGGAGAATGGTACATGCTGGAGGCCCTGGTTTTTCAAACACTATATAATAGGATCCTAACCATAAAATTGGTTACCCAAAAAGAGGAACTACAATGGAGACTATAGGTAGTATCATGGCACATGGACCCCCTGAACACCAAATGACTTACCTTTTTAAAAACTTATATGAGGAAATCATATTAAGTAAGCCTAAAAAGGTGGGTTTCTTAGGGTCCAGGTAAACCCTAAACCCCGAGACACCCCAAGCTTTTGTGAGGTGGGCGGCCTCCGGGGATGTCTTAGGTTGTCCTTACCCAGACCCCCGGGAGGATCTAGAAAGTAGATCCCGTAATTTGGGACCCTATACTACTAAGGGTACTTTAAAGGAACCACCATTAAGGGATCTACTTTTTGGATCCTCCCGGGGGTCTGGGTAGTGGCGCTCGTAGGATCTATAGGGGTTGCTTTCAGGTTTGTTGTAAGGGATCTATAGACTTTTGGGTTTTAGGGTTTAGGGCCTTTTGGTTTACCTGGTGATCCAAACACCTATAGTTTTCGGGCTTAGACTTTATAATTAAGGGGTCATAACCTACTATTTTGTAGGGTTTGGGGATACAGTAGGAGGATATTCTCAGACGCATTTCAGGGTCAACCTTATGCAGGCTTTCTACAGGCATTTCAGAAGTTTGTGACATTTCCAGCTCTGGTTCGTGAGGGCTGCAGCTTTAGAGACCTGGCGCCTTTTCGGTTTAGGATCTGACTTGAGAAGCAATCTAGAGGCTCATATCCTACCCCTTTCTAGGAAACCTAGTTGTTTGGTTAGGAGCTGTTGTATAGAAAAGTAGATACCTTGAACACGGGGTAGAGTATGAGCCTACAGGAATCACCTGTGGATCCGAAAGCCCACCGTTTTAAGGGTTCGACCCTCTAATGAAGGGGTCATAACCTACTATTTTATGGGGTTTGGGGTCACAGGTAGGCTTTTGGTTTAGGCTTTAGGGATTAGGGTTTTGGTTTAGGGTTTAGGGCAATTACGGGGCCATAACCTACTATTTTATGGGGTTTGGGGTCACAGGCAAGCCATGCGGAAGTGCTGCAACAGGTGGAAACCCTTGTCTCGCCTGCGGGGAGAGTAAAACATGATGGCTAAACCCTAAACCCTAAACCCTAAACCCTAAACCCTAAACCCTAAACCCTAAACCCTAAACCCTAAACCCTAAACCCTAAACCCTAAACCCTAAACCTTGCCGGTCAGCGGGGACTGGCTGGGCTGGGAAAGGATCTGAACCCCTCCCCAGACCCCCGGGAGGATCTAGAAAGTAGATCCCATAATTTGGGACCCTATACTACTAAGGGTACTTTAAAGGAACCACCATTAAGGGATCTACTTTTTGGATCCTCCCGGGGGTCTGGGTCTAAGCCTCTAAGGAACCCTTCCAGGTTCTTAGCTTTAGAGCTTTGGGTTTAGGGTTTCGGTTTAGGGATCGTTGCGTTAGAGCGTACCTGTATCCCCAAACCCTACAAAATAGAAGGTTATGACCCTTGAATTAGACGGTCTGACCCTTCAAACTGTAGGTTTGGGGATCCACAGGTCAGGCTTGATGCCCCTAAGCGTTTAGGCTCGAAGATCGAAGTTACCTGGACGAATTTCCCAGACCCCCGGGAGGATCCAAAAAGTAGATCCCTTAATGGTGGTTCCTTTAAAGTGCCCTTAGTAGTATAGGGTCCCCAATTAGGGGATCTACTTTCTAGATCCTCCCGGGGGTCTGGGTTCTTGCTACTGGTCGACTATCCATGGATCGGGCACCGGGATGTTGGTCCTAGGTTTGGTGGTACTTGCTTTTGGGTCTTCAGGGAGTCAGGGTTGAGAGTTTATGTTTTTTTCGATTTTAGGCTTAAGGTTTTAGTGCTTTAGGGTTTAGTGTACTGGGCTTTATTGTGTGAGGCGTTAAGTGCTTAGTCTTTGGAAAGGTGTTCAAGGTTCGATGCTTCGGACGCGGCCTATGCCGCCATTATCCCTAACCTGTGGATCCAAAAGCCTACCGTTTTAAGGGTCAGACCCTTTAATTAAGGGGTCATAACCTACTATTTTGTAGAGTTTGGGGATACAGGAAGGCTCCATGTACCCATGTAGTAGATACTTAGGCCTTAACGGGGTCCCTATATAGCTACTTTAATGCCTATAAGTATACACTACCTGTGCCCCCAAACCCTACAGAATAGTAGGTTATGACCCTTTAATTAGAGGGTCGAACCCTCAAAACGGTAGGCTTTGGGATCGCAAGGTATATTGTATGGGTACATGGAGCCTCAGGGTATGTTTTCAAGACTCAGGGTGTCTAGGCCCTGTGAACGCACGCGTTCACGTTGTCCGGACTGAACACGTTTAGGGGTTTAGGGTTTAGGGGTTTAGGTTTTAGGGGTTTAGGGTTTTGGTGGCTAGCTACTTGGAGGTTCATGGGACTTAGTAAGTACAGTTATAAGTACCTTAACTGGGGTTATAAGTATTTATAAGTATAGTTACCTCACTTATAGCCCTATAGTTACTAAGTCCCATGAACCTCCAAGCAGTCATCTGGCACTTGACCGGGAAGACCCTTTGTAGCAGGCCTGCCTCGTAGGATCGTCGCCTTCATGCGATGTGTGAGGTTCCGAAAATTAGGGGGTACCTTATTTAGGGGGTCCTTATTATAAGGATCCTGCTAGTTCGTCGCCTTTACGCGATGTGTGAGCTGTGAGTTTCCGAAAACTACGGGGTACCTGATTTTGGGGTACTTGTTATAAGCATCCTAGTATAGACTATTTAGGGTACTATATTGGGGTCCCCTATTTTCGGAAACTCCCATATTGATCCGGTAGCACTGAACTGGGAAGCTTCAGATTAAAGATTACCTGTATCCCCTATAACCCTACAAAATAGTAGGTCATGACAGCTTCATTACCCTTACCTAGACCCTCAAGAACATATTTTTTAAGGACTCAAATAAGGTAATCATAATAGACTCAGATTTTAGGGCTCTTTAGGCCCAAGGCCCATACCATATAGGGCTTTTGGGCTATTCTGAGCCTTAGGGTTAGAGGGTAGAACCCTTAAAACGGCCTAAACCCTACCTTGGGATCCCAAAACCTACCGTCTTAAGGGTTCGACCCTCTAATTAAGGGGTCATGACCTACTATGTTGTATGGTTTGGGGATACAGGAAGGTTCCATGTACCCATATAGTAGATACTTAGGCCTTAAAGGGGTCCCTATATAGCTACTTTAATATAAGGCTTTTCAACCCTAAACTCTAAACCCTGAACCTGAACCCTCAACCCTAAACCCTAGGTATACCGTACTCAACGTGACTCCGATCCTCTAGACCGTTTGAGACCCCGAAGGCTGAAGGTCAACATAATACAGGAGCCGAAGCAAAACCCTAAACCCCAAACCCTAGGCCCTTTAAAGGGTTCCTTAAAGGGTCTATTAACTAAGTGATTATATATATATATATATACATATTTATTTATTTAGATATAAAGATATAGGGTTTCCTTATTACAAGTATAGTTTACAGGGCCCTCAAACCCTATTCAAACTATTAAGGCCCCTATGCTACCGTTGAGCGTAGTTTCATCTTCGTAAGGTCAGCACTGAGCCAGGTTGAAACATCCGTGCAGAGCTTGGCCAACGATGGTATCAAAGCCATGGCAGGCGCACTGCTTGCTTTTATTGCTGTTAGGATTCAGGATGACCGCAGATGGAACCCGCGTATGCGAATTATCATGACAAAGGCCTGTATCCGCGAAATGTTTCGCAGATGTGTCGGTGGAGCATATCAATGCCACGTGTTGCGGGTGATAGTGCTCAATATGCACTTGTGCGGTACGAGTCATGAAGCATTGACAAAAAGGCAGTGGTCGTGACGACGGCTCCCATGTTGTCATGAAGGAAATGGAGAAGGCCGGTTTCCAGGTGTATGCGGTAATCACTTAATTAGGGGTACTTAGAAATGATTTTTAATTTTTGGTTATTATAACCCCTAAGAAACAGCTGAATTTACATTTCTTGCTGGGGTTCTAAGCCCTCAACCCTAAACCCTAAAGCCCTACACCGTAAACCCTAAACCTTAAAACCCTTATAGATCAGGTCTCCGGCACAAGGGCCCAGGGCTTCGGGGAGGAGGTCTCGTCGATTGGTCTTTCACTTCAGTTGGCTATGCCTTTGGTTAGGATTTCGGGTTTAGGGCTTAGGGTTCAGGGTTTAGGGTTTTAGGGTTTTGGCTCTGCCATGGTGCATGCAGCGTGGGGCCGGCCATGTGCAAGGTTTGCAGGATCTTCAGTTTCCTTGAGCTCCAAAGCCGAGTTCCAGAATCGAAAGCCCCAACCCTAAACCCTAAACCCCTAACCTAAACCCTAAACAACCCGAAAAACCTTCCGTGGCCTGGAACCCCTGCTGTCCAACTCTCCAGACAGGTTTTGGCTTGATTGGAGATGGGGTTCAGGGTTTTGGGTTTAGGGGTTTAGGGTTTAGGGGTTTGGGGCTTAGGGATCGGGTAAAGAATCTTAGCCGGTTTAGTTTTACCTGTATGTTGCCTTTTCGTTTAGCTGCATAGCCGCTAGAGTCACCAGAGGCTCTCAATGCGGACCTTGCTGGCACTGCTGCAGTTCAGGCTGCAACAGTCCGTTTGCACATAGTGTTCGCGACGGGGAGTAACTGGCTTAACCTAAAGGAGCAGCAAGATTGAGCGTCACAGTTTCCTGACGGCCCAGAGCAGTATACTCTGAATATACCAATAACGCCAACAACATTAATCAGTTGGGTTGGAAGCTCGCGGACCTACCTCTAGCCTCTAGCCCCTTAGTCTGGGCTTGGGCTGCTAAATGTTTCTGATACCCAGGGTGCAGATGTGTCACAGGTTGTTATATATGTCGCAGCTGGGATGTAGGTGTAGGCTTTGCATCGGGCTTCCAGTTCGCCGCGATTTCACGCCGTCTCAGGTTCTTACGGGGCTTCGTGCAGAATTGCAGGGTTCCTACAAATTAAGCTGTATACTTCTGTACAAAGCCTATGAAATGGAATTTGTGTTTCGCAGTGTGTTTTCCAGTCTGGTTTAGGGTCCAGGTTTTTGCGCGAGAATGATTCGTGCTCAAAGGTGCAAGGTTGCGGGCATATGATGAAGAGTTTTCCACTACCCATATTATGTGAAGCTTTTGGTGGGTATGTTTTGAAGAGTTTAAGGTCTCCGGGTAGCGACGAGTTTAGGGTTTGGGGTTTGGGGTTTCGGGTTTGGTAGCGACGAACCGAGTATGATCAACGGAGTCCGGCTTCCTCACCAGGTCGGGTGTGACAAGGCTTGCGAGTGGAGTCTCATACCTCTATAACCAGGCTGTTCAGTGGTACACTTTTTTACTTTCAGGTTTCTGGGTTCCTATTTTAAAAGTAAGAAGCCTAAAAGGGTTACTGAACAGCCCAGATAACGACTGTCTCGATGGATCTAAATCACTCTAGTTCTGTCCCAGTACTCCTTCTGTCTGGTTGCAACGATAAATCCAAATACCTGTATTTTCCTATGTAAGCTACGATGCGCCCTCCAAGCCAATACAACATCAACTTTTGCGATGCAGCACGTGGGCAGTTCTGATGTACACATAGCAGCATGTGTTCAGCGTCCTTGAGGGTCTACCTTGGGCCGGTGCCACCTGGCCTGTTTTGCTGCTTGCGTCCAGGCTCAAAGCAAGCCGCAGCTTCATCAGGGCTTGCACGGAGTTGCCTGGTTGGGAACCAAATGCCAGAATCAGAGTCCTAAACCCTTAAAGGTCCGAAGAAGCTTCTTTTTAGTTGCAAGGCTGAAACACAAACCTTAGAAGCTGCCCCCACCCTGTAATAGTGACTATTACAGGGTGGCGGCCCCTTTCTAACACAAACCGTGCATCATGGCGGATGTGCTGCAGATCGCAAAGATCGGTCTTTTCGTCAGCGCAGACTACATGGGCACGTCCATGACAGTCGGCGGTTTAGGGTTTAAGGTTTATGGGATGCACCCTGAAACCTCAAACTTCAATTTTCTGGGGTTCTAGAATATAGGGGCCTAAAGAATTACCTACTCTTTTTTTGGGGGGCTCCTTGCTAAAACTACAGTGTACTGGCTCTCTAAGCCCTATTCTAGTTCTTGAGGCCCCTGTATAAATGCTCTTTCAGAGATCTATAAGAGTTCTATCAGCGTTTACGGTTCAGGGTTTGGGTCTTAGGGCTGCGGGTTCGAAGCTTAAAATTTGGGTTCTAGGGCCGCTAGAGTTAGACTCAAGCCGAAAGCTTTGAGCGAGGGCTGGCAGAATACTTACCAATATTGTTGCTCGAAGTTCCTTACTATATCCCTGGTACAATGCACCCGCCTGACCCCCACAAAAAAAAAAAAAAACTAAACCCTACACCCTAAACCCCCCCAAACCCTCTTCTAATTGTTCGGGTTCCTCCACTACATGGGGAGGGCTACTGGGCTGGACTCCTGAAGAAACCTAGCGAGCCTCATGTAACATTGATCCCTCATGGCACCTACATAATGGTTTAAAGGGGGTTATAAAGGAACCTAAACCCTGAAAAAAGGAATGAGGGCCTACTCTGGGTCCTAGTTCAGCTTTAAGGAGGAGCTTCCTAAAACAAAAATTAGAGGGGAACTGCTGTGGAAGTACATGTGCTACCATACAGCGAATTTTGGATGACTAGTGCTTTATGCTAGGATCCCTCATACTTCACTTTAAGGGCGTGAGGGTCAGAGTGTTCCAACTTCCTGGCTTCTACTTTAGTGACAATCCCTAAGGTTCCATGTACCCATATAGGATATACTTAGGCCTTAAAGTACCTACATAGGGACCTGGCTTAAGTATCTCCTATAATGGTACATGGAGCCTTTGGGAATTGTGATAAAACGGTCACCCTTTTGAATTCCTAGGTTATTCTTAGGTCTAGTGAACGTCGGGGGGAGGGGGTGTGCAATCCTGTTCTTGACGGAGGGTAGTGGCGGGTAGCCAGTCCCAAACATGGAACATGATCCTTTACGCAAGATGCACGGCCACGAGACCAAGCCCAAGGAGCCAAGCCAGAGCCCTAAACCCAAAGCCCTTACAGAATTTTTGCGATTCCTTATCACATGGAACCCTAAACCCTAAGTCGTTAACCCTCAACCCCAAACAAGCCCACACCAGGATGCACCGCCTTTTGCCCGAACTCCTAGTCATAGAACCCTTATAGTACCTTTATAGAACCCTTAACGGGGCCCCTTCAGGAGCCGTAAAGCCCCACACACCAGGATGCGCAGCCTTCCAGAGTCCTGGGACCGGTATAATACCTTAATAGAACCCTTAACGGGGCCCTTTAAAGGCATCCTTATAAGCCCTTATAAACCCTAAACCCTAAACCGGTATAACACTTTTATAGACCCTTACCTAGAGGTTCATGGGGCTTAGTAACTAGGGTTGCAATATGTACTTATAATCCCAATTACGGTACTTATAACTGTACTTACTAAGTCCCATGAACCTGCAAGTACCCTAAACCCTAAACCTTAAACCCTAAAACCCTAAACCCTAAACCCTAAACCGGGCCCCACACCAGGATGCGCAGCCTTCTGCCTCAACTCCTAGCCATAGAACCCTGATAGTACCTTTATAGAGCCCTTAACGGGCCCCTAAAGGAGCCGCAAGTAGACCCTAAACCCTCAACCCTATAGATCCTTTTAAGGAACCCTATAGATCCCTTTAAGGAGCCCGTTACTACACCAGGATGCGCAGCCTTCTGCCTCAGCTCCTGGTCTCCTCTTCCGCCTCGGCTGTGGGCAGCCTCGAGTCGTCCTACGGCCTGGGCTGCTGGGATTTCGACTTCCCAAAGACTCCGATATCCCCCCGTATTTAAGGAAGACCTAGGGGCTCCTTTAAAGGGATCCTTAAGGGTTCCTTTAAGGGATCTATAGGGTTTAGGGTTTAGGGTCCAGAGACTCCAATATGGGGGTTTCCGAAAATAGGGGACCCTAATATAGTACCCTAAATAGTAGGATCCTTATTATAGGGACCCCTAAATAAGGTACCCCGATTTTCGGAAACTCCCGTATCCCCTTAATTAAGGAATACCTAGGGGTTCCTTTAAAGGGCGCCTTAAGGGCTCCTGGAATGTATAGGGTTTAGTGTTTATGGGACTCTAATATCCCTTAGTGAAGGAATATACCTTAAATTATAGTAGGATCCCTGATATGATTTAAAGAATATTCCTGGATTAAGGGATACTGGAGTCTCTAGGTTGTTGGGCTTCGGGTTCCCTCCAATACGGTTCCCTTTAAGGGTTCAGGTTTTTTGGGCTGAGGGAGTGTTAGAGTTCACTGGGTTTAAGGCTAAGATATGTTGGGGGTTCAGGGGTTTAGGGTTTCGGTTTAGGGCTTAATTAGCCGGTTTGGAGGGTTGGGGGTCTGGGGGTTCACGCTAAAAGCCATGCACCTGTGAATTATGAAGGCTTCGTAGGATTTACTACAGGGTTTAGCTTCCGGTTTCTACAGGGTTTTAAATAGGGAGGAGGACGCTGTGGGAACCCATCGTTTGAAAGGGTTGTATTTGCGTCCTCTTTTGTTTGAAGGGTTTTCCTACACTCGTCGGTTCTGAGTAATACCCTTTTTCCCTTTACGTTTCCTAAACCCCTAAACCCTAAACCCTAAACCCTTTCCCCTAAACCCTTTCCCTTATAAAAACCAAATAGTAGGAACAAGGGAACCCAGACTAATGGGTCTCATGGGATCCATGTGTGTGCTTGTAAAGTTGTTGGCGTACGAAGAAGGAACAGCTAGCTAGCTAGCTACATAACATAACCAAGGAACGACTACCTACCTACCTACCTACCTACCTAACTAACTAACTATAACTAACTAACTAACTAACTAACTGACTAACTGACTGACTAACTAACTAACTAACTTACTAACTAGCTAATCAACTAACTAACAAACTAACCAACCAACCAACTAACTGACTAACTCGCTGACGAGCGAGCTAGCTAGCTAGCCAACTAACTAACTAACTAACTAACTAACTAACTAACTAACTAACTAACTAACTAACTAACTAACTAACTGGCTAACTAGCTGATAACCCATTAACTAATTAATTAGTTACATAGATGTGTCTAGCTCCCTCTGCATATTTATAAATGTACATATACGTGGATCTACAGACAGATAGATACATAGATAGAGAGATACAAGTAAACAACTAAATAGAAACACAAGTCAACACAAGCCAACACACAGACAAGCACACAAATACATACATACATACATACATACATACAGACATACAGACAGACAGACAGACAGACAGACAGACAGACAGACAGACAGACAGACAGACAGACATACACACATACACACGAACAAACAAGCAAGCATGCAATCAAACAAGCAAACACACAATTATTATCCTTCGAACATCCCCACCCTAGCGCCTTCTCCTTCCTACGCGCAAATCCTAAGACCCAAAGTTGGGATTGGGGACTCCAGGGAATCTCACGGTAGTCTGTGGGGTTGGGCACTCCAGGGATTCTCACGGTAGTCTGTGGGGTTGGGCACTCCAGGGATTCTCACGGTAGCCTGTGAGTTTGGGCACTCCAGGGATTCCCATGGTAGTCTGTGGGCTTGGGCACTCCAGGGGTTCTCACGGTATTCTCACGGTAGTCTGTGGGGTTGGGTACTCCAGGAGGTAATCTCAGCGGGCGAGGAGTAATAGCTTTTTTTTAAAATCTAACAACCCCACACCGAGGGTGGGGAATCAAACGATTAAGTAGCCAACCAATCAAGCACATGACCCAACAATCAACATGCATTAAGCACACATGCACTCAAACCATCACGTCCACATGACATGTGCACAGATATTCATGTTATTTTGGTATCTGCACATGAACAAACAGTCTGTGCATATGATACATATATATATATATATGTATATATACATACATACATACAGATACATGAGCTCGTACAGACAGAGACAACTAGTCTTCAGGGCCATATGCGGGTACTAGGGGTCAAGCATCTACTGAGTCTGTAATGGCTCGGATCCTTCGCGTGGATCTCAAAAAGGTTCCTAAGGGGTTTAGGGTTCCCTGTAATCCAAGGGTGAAAGGAGGGACCCTTAACAAGGACCCCTAGGTATATGCCCTTAATATAGCTATTATATACCCATTATACAGCCCCGTTATAGGGTAGGGGTCCCGACTAAGGGTTCCTCCTTTTCCCCTTTGATTTAAGGGTACTATAGGGTTCTTGAATAGGGATCCCTTGTTAGGGATAACCCCAGTTATAACCTACTTACTAAGGTTCGAGCTTGAGTGCGAAAGCCTGTCGATAGTAGTTATGTAGGTTAGGATTTTGGAGAGTATATGATGATTAGAGCGGATTCATTGCGAGGTTAAGTTGAAACCCCAGGGGTTGATGGTTCAGGGTTCAGGTGTTATGGCTTAGGGTTCGGGCTGGAAGCTTGTGGGTGCACGTTTTGACTTTTTATACAGGTCGCTGTTTATTCCCCAACCCTGCAGAACCTAACTAACACGCCCCCCCCTCGCCCAGCAAACAGAACAAGGACCCGAATCCCAATAGTCTTTGATTTCGTGCCCTTGCCCCCATAAACCCTATATCCCCTTGCACCAGCTGTGTCCAACCAGCAGGCATGGTTGGGCAAGGATCATCTGCTGGGAAAGGGACTACTTGGTAATGGTTTCTTTCCGGTTCCTTCATCGTCTGTCATCATAATACAATATATCCCAAAGCCCTATTCTAATCGCCCCTGTAAATCCCGAAACACTAAGCTCCAAACCCTAAACCCTAGACCCTGTGCTAACTGTTGAGGCCCGTACATAAGCCGTGTTTGGAAACACCTGCAGACTGGAAGCGCCGCCTCAAGCTTTTGCGCTTGTTCTGCTTAGGGTTATATGCCCTAGGGCTCTAAGGACTCATGTATTAATGCTTTTGGGGCCAAAGACCATACTATATAAGGCTTTTGGGCTACTTTGATGCCATGCCCAGGGATAGAGTTTAGGGTTTTGGGCTGAGGTCCTAGAGTGTTGCGTGTTGTGTTCTGATTTTTTTTGAGGCGGTACAGAGATCATAGAGCTAGGCAAGCGGTGCTTTCACTTTGAGACCGTGGTCGAAGCACCTCACTAAACCATGCAGCCATCCCCCCAAGAGTCCAGTATTGTCTAGTCTTGCCTTAACCTACCAAAGCCTTTTGAAGATTGTTCTCATAAACCTGAAGATGGAATGTGTAGGGATCCCACAATACTAGTTTTTGGTAGGCTAAATATTTCAAGGATGGTATTTGCTACCGGTAATCATACCTTTTGGGTTCCGGCCTCTGGGCATGGCGACCTAACCATTGATCTTGGGGCAGACAGGCGTTCTCCTTGCCGCATGACATGTCGGTTACCGTGGAGGTTGGATTGCTGAGTGGCAAGAGAGCTACCGTGAAAGCCGGCTTAGATGAAGAAGTGGCAACACTGACAAGTCGAGCACAGACGGCACTCGGAGTTGGAAAAGGGCGGCTGCTGGACTCCTTGGGAAACGTTCTGGACGTATCTGCATCGATCAAAGGTGCGAGACTGCAGAATGGTGATTCGCTGACCCTTCATATAAGCCCAGTGCAGGCGTGCGGCACTGCCCTTTCTTTTGCTGCCATTCGTGGCGACGGCTCCGTCGTGACCTGGGGTGATGAAGACTATGGTGGTGACAGTAGTTCTGTGCAGGATCAGCTGAAGACTGTGCAGCGGATCCATGCCTCTGAAAACGCCTGTGCTGCCATTCTTGCTGATGGTTCCGTTGTGACCTGGGGTTGTGCTAACCTAGGTGGTGACAGCAGCGCTGTGCAGGGTCAGCTGAAGAATGTGCAGCAGATCCAAGCCTCGATCGGCGCTTTTGCTGCCGTTTTGTGCGATGGGTCTGTTGTGACCTGGGGTGATGCTGACTGCGGTGGTGACAGTAGTGTCGCACAGGATGAGCTGAAGAGTGTACAGCAGATTCAAGCCTCTAGCTGTGCTTTTGCTGCCATTCTTGAGGATGGATCGGTCGTGACCTGGGAAATGCTCACTATGGCGGTACCAGCACGGCTTTGCGGGATCAGTTGATAAATGTGCAGCAGGTCCAAGCCTCTTCCGAGGCTTTCGCTGCCCTTCGTCGCGATGGATCCGTCGTGACCTGGGGTGATGAAGACCATGGTGGTGACAGTAGCGCTGTGCAGGATCAGATGAAGAACGTGCAGCAGATCCAAGCCTCTGTCGGCGCGTTTGCTGCCATTTTGGGCGACGGATCCGTTGTAACATGGGGTCATGCTCAGTACGGTGGTGACAGTAGAGGCGTTCAGGATCAGCTGAAGAATGTTCAACAGATCCAAGTTACTAGATTTACTAGGGCATATACGGAACATCACGAAGTTGCCGCATTTGCCGCCATTCTTAGCGATGGATCCGTCGTGACCTGGGGTGGTGCGATTGATGCTGGCCGCGGGCTGCAGAATGTGCAGCACATCCAAGCCACTCAAAATGCATTTGCCGCCATTCTTGCTGATGGTTCCGTCGTGGCTTGGGGTGCAGCTGAAGACGGTGGTGGCAGTAGCGCTGTGCAAGATCAGCTGACAAATGTGCAGCAGATCCAAGCCTCTTTAGGTGCGTTTGCTGCCATTCGTCGCGATGGATCCGTGGTGACCTGGGGGGATAATGAGTGTGGTGGTGACAGTAGTGCTGCACAGGACCAGCTGAAGAATGTACGGCAGATTCAAGCGTCTTTCCGTGGTTTTGCTGCTATTCTTGAGGATGGTTCAGTCGTGCCCTGGGGTTACCCAGCTTCGCAATCGCTTTCAACTTCTCGATAACCAGAAGCAATCGCCCGAAAAATGAGCGGCAGCTTGGACTCCTCGTCAAGAACTCCTGTTCAGTGACAAACGTGTTTCCTGGCATTGTGGCACCCGAGGTTTAATCCCATCGCCACCATGAAGAGACCCTGTCTTACGGCACTTAGTAAGTACAGCTATAAGTACCTTAACTGGGGTTATAAGTAACTATATAAGTATAGTTACCCTATTTGTAACCCCAGTTACTAAGTCCCATGAACCTCCAAGTAGGGTTAGTTAGGCTTAAGAAGTTAAGACATTAGTTCGGCTGTAGGGGGCTTCAACCATTATAAGGGTTCAGGGCTGACGGGGTTTAGGGTTTAGGGTGTAGCACTGCTGTCCCCTTTTTGCTTCCATGGGAATGTGCATTAAACTGTGTTGAAATGAGAAACTCCCTAAACCCTAAACCCTAAACTCGGACCTAGAGTAGGGACTCCTCCCCTTTTTTTGGGGGGTTCAGGTTCCCTTAAAAGCCCCTTACAGGGAACTCCAGAAAGTTGGAATATGGTTTCATGGCAGGATACCCTATAATTTACCATAGAAGGGTTAGGATAATCATATTCCAACTTTCTGGCTTTTACTTTATCAGGGAACCTTACAAAAGTAGGTTATTTGGGGTCGAGGTGATCCCTAAACCCTAAAGCCTACACCCTAAGCCCTACAGTCAGTAAGCTCATGTAAGCTCTAAACCTGAGACCCTCATCCTTCCAAGACACCCCAATGGCCATGTAATGGAGTCCTGATAGCCTGATAGCCCTTGATAGTGGGTATTTCGGGGTATATCAGAGGGTAGCTGGGGGGTCTAGCCTTATCGCTCAGCAGATCCCTAACCCCGAAACCTTCTACCTAGGCACGTGCGCCCCCTTCGTTAGCACTGGGACTGACATGCGCATGCGATTCTAGCCCCGCAGTCTTTCGAATCCCTAAACCATAAACCGTTCGGTACTACGCTGTTTTAACGTTGATGGATCCTGACCACAGAATAGGTTCTGCAGGGTTCCTTACTACAACTCCAGGTTTACACCCTGTACCCGACCCCCCTTTGCAAAACCTGATAAGCCCCAATTTCCAGAACCTCAAAGTTTAGGCGCAGAACCTCAGAATATAGGCAAAACCTAAACTAGAGCCCTACCACCCTAAATCCCTAACCCCTGAAACCCTAAACCCAACCCCTAAATCCTAAATCCTAAACCCTCAATCCAAGCCCTCAACCCTGAATCCTAAACCCTACCACCCGAAACCCTATAGATCCCTTTCAAGGAACCCTTATAGACCCCCTTTAAAGAACCCTAAACCCTACTACCCTACTACCTAAGACCCCACTTGGAGGTTCACAGTTATAAGTACCCTAATTGGGATTATAAGTACAAATAAGTGTAGTTACCTGAATTATAACTCTAGCTACTAAGTCCCATGAACTTCTAAGCAAACTTGAACCCAGGCCAGACCTTGGGAAGCCTCTCACTGCCATATCTCAGCGATCTTTTTGGCCGGTGCCACGGCTTGCCAGGAATCCCCAAGTGCCCTTTAAGGGCTCTATAACCCTTAGGCTCTAAGGACTCGCATTTTAAGGGCTCCGGGGCCCCAAGACCATACTATATGAGGCTTTTGGGCCATTTTTGAGCCCTGGTGTAAGGGATCTACCTAGGGTTCCTTTCAAGGGTTCTTTGGGTTTAGGGTTTATACTATACCAGCAGTCCCCAAGTGCCCTTCAACAGAGCTCTTATGGTCCTTAGCAGATTTGTACTCAGGGTATAGTATTCAGGGTATAGTGGAGGGTAGTTGGGGGCGTGCTGGTAGGAGTTTGAGCTTCAGGGTCTCGGGTTACTTTGCCACACTTTGCTTGAAGGATGCATGGGACTCTGTAACTACCCTAAGGGTCCAGGTATCTGCTTAGGAGGGTCCGGAATGTCCTAGGGAGAGTCCTTGGGTCTCTTTGGGGTCTCGGAAATCCTGCACTCTGCGGTTCCTCAACCTGGATCCCCAAACCCTACAGAATAGTAGGTTATGAACCCCTTAATGAAAGGGTCTAACCCCTCAAACAGTAGGTTTTTGGGATCCCCAGGAAAGTGTTAGGATCCTTAGGGCAGGGTCTTTGACGTTTGAAGTTTTTCCAAGGGTAAAAGGAGGGACCCCTAATAAGGACCCATAGGTATATACCCTTAATATAGCTATTATATACCCATTATATAGCCGATTATAGGGTAGGGGTCCCCATTAAGGGTCCCTCCTTTTCCCCTACGAGTTTAAGTTTAAGGCTTTGTGGGTTCAGATCTCGGGCCTCGGGTCTCTTTCTAGCTCAATATTTTGTTTCAATTCCCCAGACCCCCCAGAGGATCCAAAAAGTAGATCCCTTAATGGGGCTTCTATAAAGTACCCTTAGTAGTATAGGGCCCCAAATCCCAAATTAGGGGATCTACTTTGTAGATCCTCCCGGGGGTCTGGGTCATCATGAGTCATGGGACTTACGGTTGATGATAAAAAATCCTGCATTACCCATAATAAGGAATATCCCATGATTTCCATAGTTTAGGGTCCTTAGGGTAATGCAGGGTTTATATCATCAACAATGGCAGTAAGGGTTAGAAGATACAGGTACCTGAACTGCTGCTTTATGTGATTATAGGTACAGCTACCTTATCTGTACCGTATCTAGGAGTTTCCGAAAAGAGGGGACCCTAATATAGCACCCAAAATAGTAGGATCCTTATTATAAGGACCCCAAAATAAGGCACCCCCTAATTTTCGGAACCTCCCATCTAGGTTCCTGAGCAGTAGCCGTTTGCCCTTTTTAGTGTGCGGGTCTCCTTATTATAAACTGAATATTAGGAACAGGGGCACCCTTATTGTTCAGGGGTTACTGAGGCACGTGGCTATAAGATCCGATCGTGAAGCCTGCAAACTGTATGAGCACTCAAGGATTTGCACCTTTGCTAAGATCCTGAGCCCGGTAGGGTACATAGGGTATAGGGTTTGGCGTAAGTTATACCCAAGTGCTCCAAGTATACATATCGTGTGTGCCTAACGCCTTCAAATAGTATTTGTTGTGGGCTATTTGGAGCCCCAGGGATAGTGTACCCCTTAGGCTCTAAAGACTCACGTGTTAAGGCTTCTGGGCCCAAAGACCATACTATATAAGGCTTTTGGGCTATTTTGAGCCCTTGGGTACGTGATGGATCCAAAGGAATCCGAAGGAGTAACGTTTATCTGAGAGGATACCTAAAGGCCTCAGGTTGGAGGGTTGATTTAGGTTTCAAACCTTATGCGGAATACGAACACTAGGACCCAGAGTCGGCCCTTATTCCCTCTTTTAGGGTTCAGGTTACCTTATAACCCCCTTTAAGCCACAAAGGGCGCCCGTTTTATTCCTAGGTTACTCTTAGGTCTAGAACCATTAGGAGTATGGATTTGGGGATCTAAAACCCTACTATTTGGGTATATACTTGGACTCTCTGGGGAAGACAACTTAGAGACCCAGCAGCGGAGTAGTGGCCTTGAGTTACAGGTTACACTTGGGGATCCGAAAACCTACCGTTTTAAGGGTTCTACCCTCTAATTCAGGGGTCATTACCTACTATTTTGTAGGGTTTGGGGATACAGGCAGCCCTTAAGGTGGTAGGTTGTTGGCGCCATAGGCAAGAGCTAGCACCGCCAAAGCAATGACCCCAAAATATTCCTGAGCCCCAAACCCTCGCCTCAATAATTAGAATTTGGTTTTGGGGGTTCCTTCTTATACCTAGAGTATAATTGCCCCAAACCCCTATTCTAATTGCTAACCCCGCCTCCTCCACAAGCGAAGGTTCAACGTAGGTACATGTCTCATGGCAGAGACCATACTTTGCCCTAGAGCGTGTTGTGTCCCGAGCTCTCCCAAAGGCTCCATGTACCTTTATAGTAGGTACTTAGGCCTTAAAGGGGTCCATATACAGGCACTTTAAGGCCTAAGTATATGAGAGTTTCCGAAAACAGGGGACCCCAATATAGCACCCTAACTAATAGGATCATTGTTCTAGGAACCCAAATAAGGTACCCCTAATTTTCGGAAACTCCCATATACTTTATGGGCACATGTAGCCTTAGGGAACTCTAGCTGGTAAACCGTGTAAGAACCCCTTTGAACATTCAAGACAACACCCTAAGGCTCCATGTACCCATATAGTATATACTTAGGCCTTAAAGTGCCTATATAGGCACCCCTTTAAGGCCTAAGTATCTGCTATAAAGGTACATGGAGCCTTTATTTGCGACACATTAGCCACGGAGCTTATGCCATGGCAACCCTAAACCATAATGCAGTTTAGTAGTTTTAGCATATGGGTAGTTCTCTCTAGATTTACATGTAGGGTTCCTGTTTAGGTTATGTAGTAGACACGACCCTAAAAGGGACCCTAATTTAGAGAACAATCGAGCCCAAACACTACGGCTTTTCTTGTAGGGTTCCTTTCATGATCAGGGTTTAGCGTTTAAGGCGCACGGGGCTGCAAGAATTAAGAAGACCCCTTGTCGGTCCCTGAACCTTGTCCCCCTAGCCCGACACCCCAAAGCTCAGGCGTCGCATTCTTCAGCTGTCTTGCCTCGGCACTGCTGCCGGCTACAGCTTGTGCCTTGGTTTTCACGGCTTTGATGTTAACCTTAGGCTCCAAGGACTCATATTTTAAGGCTTTTGGGCCCAAAGACCATACTATGTAGGGCCTGTGGGCTATTTTGAGCCTTAGGGTTAGGCTTCGGCGTGGGGTTCTTAATAAGCGCGAACATGGGGCCTGTAGGGGTTTGTACCCAGCGCGAGCGACACTCTGCACTCTAGACTCTAAACCCTCTTACGCTTAGACCCTAAACCCAGCAAGATCGTGAGTGCTCTGACCCTTGCAACCTTGCAAGCAGCCGGACTGTAGCAACCGCTCCACACCCTAAACCCTAAACCCTAAACCCTAAACCCTAAACCGTAATGCTTAGGGTTCTATGGTTCAGGTTCACCGGTTACGGTTGAGGCTTCAGAGTTTGGGTTTTGTTTCATTATCCCTAAGGGTCCATGTACCCAAATAGTATATACTTTGGGCCCAATGTACCCATATAGGGAGTACTTTAAGGCCAATGTATATACTATTTAGGTACATGGACCCTTAGGGTATATCGAACCAGAAGCCGGGAGAACTACAATCATATTTTCTTCCAAGAGTTCCTCATCAGAAGTGTCGCAATACCGCAAAAGCCCTGTTTTAATTATTCATTTTGATCCGAAATGTCCTATATCTATACTTACTGCATAGGCAGACCCCTAAACCCCAAAACCCTAAACCCCTAAACCGATTCGGTCATGTCCTCCTGGCTCCCGAGGTCGGCCTTTGCGGTGTCTTCCGAAGAGGCAGGGATGACAGGCGAAGCCTAAAACCTGCCAGTTTGGGGTCTGTAGGCATAGGGTTGAAGGCTTAGTTTAATCCAAGGGTAAAAGGAGGGACCCTGAATAAGGACCCCTAGGTATATACTCTTAATATGGCCATGATATACCCATTATATCGCCCATTATAGGGTTGGGGTTCTTATTAAGGGTCCCTCGTTTTCCCCTTTGATTTAAGGTTTACCTGGAGTATCCTTTGTACTTGAAAATTTGGGGTCATTCGAAAGAAACGGTTTTTAGCCGTCCGGGTGCGTTTTCTGGGGTTTGTACTGTTTTATGGGTTTTCAGGTATTATCCTGAAGGAGTACAGGTGTTCGACCCAGAGCTGCTGGCTCGGGGGGGATCCTCCTGATTGTGGCCCAGACCAGGCTGGGTGCCTGCTCACTTCGTTCGGATGGCATATGTGGCATTTGTTGTGCTGCAAGCACACCTTTGAAGCCGTTCTTGATTCAAGTGATTTGTGCTGGGGTTCCAAACTTGGTAGCTACCTCACACGATGGAAGCGCTGCGCACATCATGCCCCGACTTGGTGCGGGATTTGAACGAACGTGGCCACTAGTCTACGATTTGGGGGTTGTATTTGGGCTTGTATCATTACTTCTTTCATGTGAGATCCGTTTGTTTTGTGAGAAATCCAGAGGTTTGTCCGACTTGCCGGATGACTTCTGGACCGCCGTGCTAGAGGTCTTCCACAATGCGGCACTTTGATCAAGATAAACACTCATTTCTCCCCGCATCCCCGCATCGACGTTGTCTTGGTCACGGGTTGCTCAGGTCACCACACCAGCTCCTGATAACATCCGCATGCTCATCCAGAACTACGACTCCAATGGGTTGATGCTGCACCTGGTGCGGGCACACCAAGGATTGGTGTACACTAGCTACAGTAGGGGGCACAGAACATGTAATACATATGTTCCCTGGAGGAGGTGCGGAGATCTTGCACACGGCTTGGGGCCTACGTTCGTAGATGTGACATCCACGAGACATGTTTCCACTGGCCCCGTGCAGCCCAAACCAGGTCAGCGGCTCCTCCATCAGCTTCTCTCCCACTGAGTCTCCTGAGAAGGATATGCAGTCCGAGCATGAGAATCAGAAGCCACAGGGGTAGGGTGCTGGACTCCGAACAGAGTGGTTGAAACTCCAATACACAGTCTTCAGCCAGATAAGGCTCATGGCCCCGTGGCATTTTGAATGGAGCCCACAGCCCTGCGTATCCCAGGATGAAGATGACGATGAAGTGTGCGTCATGCAGCCTTTAAAAGACCCCGCACATCAATTCATCATGTATTCATGGCTTGCCGATGTTTGTACTCTGCCTGCAAGTCAGCCCCTCGCCCTGGCTGTCACAGTCTCCGATCCTTGGTCAGGTCTGATGCTCGATGGCCCGGCTTCGTAGAAGCTGAACTTCACGCCATGGTGAAAGTCTCAGTTTGTGGATTGCTTCTTTCATTCAGTGTTCTGTCGATCGCTTGAGAAACCTCTATCTCGGCAGCTTTTGAAGTTTTCGAGTGCTTTCCCATCCCAGTGCCATTGAGCACCGGCCATGCCAAAAGCTACGGTCTTGGAGGGATTGGCTGCTTGCTGGGAAGATGTGTCTAACGTTAGACGTGGCGCCCGAGAGACGGGCCACTTGGTTCGTTGGCCATCCCCGGAAACCGTCGGTATCCCTAGCATGCATCGTGTCTGCAGAAATCGACATCCTTTGGCTTGCGCAATGTCATTAGCTAATCTACTCGCATGTTTCCCTGCCTGAGGAAAGCTCTCGTGCTCAACACCAACGCCTTGTACGTGCTGGTCCAGATGTGGGTGGCCAGGTATGACTACGAGACCACACAGAAGGCTAAGACACCGCCGTTAGCTGCCATCCATGACGAGGCAACTCGAATCATCTAGCGGTCTAGCGGATGCATCGCTATTCTAAACATCATCGCCCTTGCGCTGAGGTGAAGAAGTTCTGGGTTCTGATTGGTGGAAACAAAGACGGTGTACAGCCTACGGCTGTGCAGGTTCATGCTGAAGCATGGGGCTTGAGAAAGCTGATTTCCTACAGCATCCGTCGTGTTTCCATGGGACACCGTGCCAGAGCACCTCGATGTCGTTCACATGTATCATGTGCCCAGTCCCCTGCCCTTCAAAGTCTTTAGCTGTGTGCATCTGCAGCCAAGGATCCATCAGTTCGTGACATTTTCCACGTGTTCATCAGAGGCTGGTTCCCCGAGGTGCTCCACGAATGGGAGAACGCCGATGCCAGTGAGGACCTGGAAGAGTCCGACCATATGTCGGACGAACCCGACGTGGACCCCGATGCTCCGCGTGTGAAAGTAGAGGAGGACATCATATGTGTGCAAACACTACTTTCAAACCACTTGCTAAACTTTCGAAACGCATGTGAATCTTCGTGAGAGTGAATCTTGGTGAGAGGACGATCACGATGAGCGCAACAGTGTTTCACTCGACATTGACCTTTGGTCGAGGGATGAAGAGGATCCTGCCAATCCGGTGGCAGAGCCTGTCGGGCCTTCTACGTCTATGAATGAAGAGGAAGCCACAGAGCCTGTCGGGCCTCCACACACTTCTACGTCTAGGGATGAAGAGGAAGCTGCCACAGATCCTGTCGGGCCTCCGCCCACTTCTACGGGCGGTGTTGTGGACCCTAGCATGATGGACACGTTAGTCAACACGCCTTCGCCATCTCCGCCGCAAAAGGCGTTGGTCCCATCCAGACCGCGTGAAGACCTGGATGCTCAGATTCTGGAGATGGAGTCTCTTGGTTACTTTAACTAGTGAGGGCGGCGGGTGTTGCATGATTCACAGACATCGTACATCTTACATGATATACAATGCACCAAGGCGACAAATTGCAGCACGAAGGGCAGGGCATTCGACGTCAGCAGAGGCCGTGCAGGAGCCTGCCCAGGCAGCCGATGCTTTTTTCTGAGTCTTGTTAAAGTCCTTAGCATACCGAATGCACACCCGAATGTGCCAAAGCTTAGGTGCGGCCGCCTGCCCCTGTGCTTCGGCAGAATGCCAAGGAGTGTCTGCAAGAGCTTCCCACGACTGTGCAGAACCAGGTTGTTGCACGCATGGACATTTCGGATGAGAGTGGGGATGAGAAGGGCCAGGCTGCGGTTCCATCGCTAGCCAATGGGGATTACAAGGGCTTCAGTGAGCTTCCGAAGGCAGGGACTGTTGATGAGTCTGCCAAGGATGTTCCGTTCTTGACAAGGAGGGAGCAAATGGAGAGTATGGAGGCCGAAAGGGAGAAGGACGACAGCCACCGGGGACCCAAGGCTCCAAAAGGGGGTCGCGGCCGGGGTGGCCGTGGCCGGGGTGGCCGTGGCCGCGGTGGCCGCGGCCGCAAGCAAGAGGATCGCGATGATGGTGAGGTTGACGGTGAGGGTGACGACGACCACTCCGAGCCAGAAGCGAAGCCGCCCAACACCAAGCCAGCGAAAGCAGCAACCACAGCGAAAGCGAAGGCGAAAGCAGGAGCGAAAGCGAAAACGGCGCCGACAGCGAAGGCCAAGGGAAAGGCAAAGTCGGGACCCAAAGCCAAGGCAAAGGGAACGGCGAAGGCCAAGGGGTCCGCAAAGAAGCGTGACCAATCGGATGACGAGGACAAACCGATGCCGGTACTCAAGCGCCCAGCAGCACGATGCGCCGTCCGCAACGACTTTGAGCAAGGCTACCTGGACGTGTACTGGACCCGGCCCGCCTGTGGATTGAAGCTGCGCACGACCGGCAAATCTGCCTGGGCTTCAGTCTTCATATTAAGCTATTGAAGCGCTTGTTGATATTTGTGGCACAAAAACTAGGTGCTTTTCTCCTTGCACATGATCAGGTGTTCTACCTTGCCCAACGTGGAGCTACCATGGCACAGATCCTTCCAGTGGTATACCCGGTTGTGGCTTGCCTACAACCATTGGAACTTGTGTTTGCTTCAACTAGTTTCGGGCAGCGCTATACGGTCAGTAGCATCCGGCAGCCAAGGCCCAGATCCTGGATGAAGTGGCAGGCGATGTCAGTCACGAGAGGTTCACGGCTGCAGCGGATGAGGCCAAGATGAGCCTCCAGACCATCATGGAGCATGGTGGGTGAAGCCGGAGCACAAAGTTATTCGTCGATGCTAAGGGCATTGATCTTCAAATTTTGAACCAGCGCGGTTCTTTACGGGGTGAGCTGCCTGCTTCTGGCCACTGTTTCGGGGTATCCTGAAATGAGCGAGAAAAAAATCAATCTGCTTCAGACTGCATCACATGCAAGCCTATGTCATTGCACCCTCCCTCCCCCTCTCTCTCTCTCTCTCTCTCTCTCTCTCTCTCTCTCTCTCTCTCTCTCTCTCTCTCTCTCTCTCTCTCTCTTTCTCTCTCCTTTCTCTCTCCCTCTCCCTCTCCCTCTCCCTCTCTCTCTCTCTCTCTCTCTCTCTCTCTCTCTCTCTCTCTCTCTCTCTCTCTCTCTCTCTCTCTCTCTCTCTCTCTCTCTTTCTCTCTCCCTCTCCCTCTCCCTCTCCCTCTCCCTCTCCCTCTTCTGTCTGGAACATGAGCCCCAGGCCCTACGTGCGGGACTGGGCTTCTATGCCAGACATGGTTTGTTGGTGGACAACAACCTCGGGCCACGTCTCTCCAACATGTCTTGCAAGCAGGGCATGGCATCGGCTGTCTGATGCATATCTGCCTATGTATATCAGCCAATCATGTCTGCATGCATGCACACAGCTGAGTCATGCAATGCACCCTTGTGCAGCATCTGGGGATTCAAGGTGCCTTGGTTACCCAGCCCTTTCTGGCTCACGTTAATGTACAGTTGCAGGTCTTTTGAGCTATGCTGAACGTGTGTGTACGAGGTTTTATATGTTGTGTGTTACATATGTCTACACTATGTATGCATACGCATATGTAGCTTCATTCATGTATATATGTGTATGTATCTATGCACGTATATATGCATGTATGTATATGTATGTA